GAGATTTTGATATATGAGCTCAAACTTCCCAATTTTTTTCACTAAATCGATCTCTGTTCAAACACACCGACAGGTATCGGGCTAATTCTTTCGCTATTTTACTCAGGCTTTGTGCCTCTATATTTTCGTGTACAGTAGTCAAGGGTTTTATTTGGGTTTGAGAGGAAAACTTCAAAAGTGCCCATAAAACTTGGATCTCTGGAAAACCATGTTTCATATGTTTCTTTGAAAAAACGAGCCTAATGTTCTACGGCTAACTTTTTATGCTTTACATAATGCCGATATAGAAATCTTCGAGGCTGTGAGGTCTGTATAAAGTGGACGGACCTGTATAGAAGTATCCTTAACCGTTTTTTCTGTGACAATGTCGCATCCTAATGACATTTAAAAGCGTTTTTTCTGTGACATTACTATTACTTTTTGTTTAACATTGACCAATAGGATGAAAGCAGTCATCTTTTTCCCGTTACAACAACAACAACAAAGCCGTTGTATGGCAGATATTTACCGTTGATTACTACATTTTTCTGTTACATTTAAAAGCGAGCGGTTTGTCTTATCAGATCATAGTTTTTTGAATCTTTAGTTTCTTCGTATACCTTAGAAAGAGCGAAAGAAAATGATGAAATCCAATTTAAGCTTAAGAAAGTTTCAAATAGGTAAGCCAAAAAAGACTTTATATGTACAAACTTTTACAGGCCCTCTAATTAACGAAAAAACTCTTTTTTTTTCGATTAAAGCTTATTAAGTTAAGTTAACATTAATTAAAGTTAGAACGTCTGTGTTAGTGGACAATTACAAATTAGTCTAGGCTAACTGAGAATCTTTCGCAAAACTTGGGTTTTAGTTTAGAAAATTGTGCATTATATTTGAATCGTTTAAGCTTTTAGTTAACTGTACAACATTTGAGGAGATTTAGAGGCGCTTTACTTTCATAGCTAATATTTAAATTTTGTCATTCCTTAGGGAATTCAGTAGGTATGAGCCACGAAGAGAAGAAACTCTTTTGGTAATGCACAGATCGCACCATTTTATCGTGCATACCTGTCAGAAAGATTGGATACTGGCTAATGTAACATTCTACAAAAATATTTTACTGTAACTCTACCACGGAGTGTGACTGTTTTTTGGCAGTGCACTTATCATTTCGAATCGACATCAATCTTTAAAAATGGTGCTTAGTCTATGAAATTAATCCTCCACTAACATTATGATTTCTTGCCTCTTTGATGGTGAGTCATTAAGATTACTAAAGCGGCTATGCAGAAGAGAAGTGTTAACCTATTCCATCATTGGTGAGTATGCATTCTTAGAGGGTAAGGATAACTCAGAGTTAATAATTCCTGTTGGAAAGATGGATTAATCGTAACTTTTGTTTTTATCAGACGAAAAGTTAACTCTGAAAAAAGTATAGGGCCGGCAACACTTCAGAGACTGGTAGATGACATAGGATGGGAACATAATCCAGTGTGATTTAAGCCTTGGACCAATCCAAGATCTTTTTCTAGTGTACAATCCGAGACTTTTTTCCGCTTATCAATCCTGAATAAAGTTCTTTCTAAACTAGATGACTTGAAAGGGTTACAAGTTTCGACTAAAGCAGCATGTGCTTATTTTGTCAAAATTTTCTGTCTAAGAACGGGCTCACCTAAGCTCAGCATCGAGGTCTTTAACTGTATAGAAAATGGTCCAAAATCCTAATTGCGTCACAGATCGGTTAATCAAACAAAGCCACGTTTTAAGCAATTATTTGAATCCCCTAAAGTGCAGTAAGTTGAGATGAGGTGATGGAGTAAGCGATTGATTGCATTGCATTCTCTCGAAAGTAATCAAATAGCATCGTATTTCGTAGTATTGTAATCTTTGATGCATCATCATGGCTTTTTAGATGGGCGTACAAGCGTCTACACTAGCTGCTGATAATATACTGAATGAGTCGTCGACGTCCAGACTACATTCATCAACTATGGTTCAACCGGCATCTTTGTCTTCGTCGAACAAGATCGAAGATTGTCCTCATTTTCAGAAACAGCCAATATCCCATAAAAATATCCCTAGTGAATGTCCAATATCTTCAGCAGCAGCATCCTCTGATATTAATCCATTAAACATGATGCCACCCGCTAATCAAATGCCTGCTCCAGATCAACCATTCCCTCTTTCAACAAATCGGGTTGTATCAAATATACCGAAAGCTGACAAAGACGAATGTTGGGTAAGTTATTCGAAGAGAATATCTCTATCGAAAATATAATGTTTTTTGTTTCTAGATCTATCCATCACCACAAATGTTTTGGAATGCTATGCTTCGAAAAGGCTGGCGTTGGCAAGATGATCAGTTAGCACCTGCCGATATGGAAAATATTGTACGTATGCACAATATTAACAATGAATTAGCCTGGATGGAAGTATTGAAATGGGAAGCATTACACGCCAAAGAATGTATGCATCCAAGATTAAAAAACTTTGGTGGTAGAGCAAAAGATTATTCGCCACGTGCACGTATTCGAAGTTGGATGGGTTATAAATTACCATTTGATAGACATGATTGGGTAGTTGATCGTTGTGGAAAACCTGTTCGTTATATCATCGATTATTATGATAGTGAAAATTTAGATCATGAAACGTTGACATTTACAATACTGGATGTTAGACCAGCATTTGATTCATTTGGAGCAGTATGGGATAGAATGCGGGCGGCGTGGTGGAGATGGACGTATAAAGCTGATGATAGTATACGAGATGAACTGATCAAAGTAGCGAAAAAAGACTTGGATTCTAAAGAAGCTGAAATTATTCGATCCTAATTTGAAATATTGTTTGTTTGTGTGTGATCCTATTGAATAATATATATTTGTTTTTGAAAACATACAGTGAGTTCCAAAATTGTTAAAAAAGCTAAAATTTTTCGATTCTGCTATATTTACGAAACTAAATGAGCTAGAGGCCTGCCGTTTTCATCATATCGTGAATCATGGAGTCTAGTCCATATGTGGATATTTCTATCTTGAAATTCCAAGTTGTTAATTTTTTATCGAAAAATGGTCAGTATACATACTTTTTTACTGTTTCAAAATTGATAGACCGGCGACGTAAAAAAGTATTTTGTGCAAAAAATACTTTTTGTGACAAATATTAATATCTTATTGATACTTTTTTAGCTCTTTTCTGTTTGAGAGGTGGGCATCTACAAAAATTTCAGTCTTCGAATATTATTAATCAGATATACAGTGTATAAATTTAGTGTATATTATACATTGAAGTGAAATCTCAGGGGATGGACACGTGCCCTGTTTGGCTACAGTTTCACATACAGCACCGATTTGTGTCGATCAATCTTGATTTTCCGTTAAATCACCTTGTTAACTCTTACTGTTGTTTTTCCTTTTCGACCTCGACCAAGAATATTACCAACACACTTGATTTGTTTACACTTTTGAATCATATAATAAATCGTAGCTTTCGAAATTAGCATTTTAGAACCAATTTCATGTTCAGTATCTCTATTTAAAAAACAACGTTTTAAGACGGTTTCGCGAAATTCGTTTGAGTGCTCCTTCCGCGACGTTTTCATCGTTATTTTTTATTCATGAAAATGAGATGAAACAATTTCTAATATGGACGTGAAGGGATGTATATCAAATCAGCTAATCTGTAGAAGAAAAAAATTCGGCGTCAACATGCTTCGCGTTTTCTACGTCGCCGATCCATCAATTTTGAAACAGTAAAAAAAACACGTATACTGACCAGTTTTTCAATAAAAAATTAACAACTTGGAATTTCAAGATAGAGATATCCACATATAGGCTAGACTCCACGAGTCACGATATGGTGAAAACGGTAGCCCTCTAGCGCATCTAGTTTCGTAGATATAACAGAAACAAAAAAATTTGGCCTTTTATCAATTTTCGGGCCCACTGTATATATCTTTTCCGTTTTTTCAGACACATGTGTGTTTCTTTTAGCTTAGCTTATAATCCTTTACAGATAAAAGATATTTTAAAACGAAATGAACATTTTAGAAAGAATATGCAAATGTCTCTTTGTCATTTAAAGAAAAGTTCAATTAAATGACTCAGCTAATGCAAAAGTATTTCAGTTTTTTAGATTATACACGTAGTCTTGATGGTACTTATTGGTTTGACACTCCGTTTAAGTATTTGACGTTTTTTATGCCAGAGTCTCAAGTGAGAAGCAAGATAAGGAAATTATTTTTACAGTTGTTTCTTAACTTTATCTCTTTAGATGAAATCGAATAAGAATGATACTCAAATAAGATTTTTTATATCAGTAGTCAAATGTGTTAAAAATGAGTCAAAAATCAACAGTACTTTAATATCGGTCTCAGACACGCTCATAACATCGTATGTAGAATTGTATTTGTCTTATTGTGTTCTTATTTCTTATTAAACATATCCGATTCGTTTTTATTTGTTCATTTCGATAGCAGAAAAGAAAGATTATTCTTATTTAATTTTACCGTTTTTGTAGAGTTCGAGATGAATCCATAGCACCAGTGAACGCTTTCAATTAGAGTAGGAAGAAGGAAATGCTTTCTTCATTTGCTTCTTTTTCTCTGGTGATGTTTGATGTTTATACAGGAGTTCTTCTTTCAGGTGAAAAAACAGATTTCAAGAACCAAGATGTATGAAAAAGACGAGACTAAAAGATAAATAATTGTATTGAGACTCTTTCTAGAGTATATTCCTTCTTCAAAAATTCCAAACAGTATACTATACAGGATAACTGTTCATTATACACTAATGAGTTTGTTTCAGAAAAATAATTGACAAAAAAGATGGATAAAAGAACTTTTCTTCATGTCGCGTTAGAAGACTTTTTCCCAAGAAAGTTCTCTCTCTTCCGAAAAAAGATCAATAAAAGCAATGTATTTAGTACTCTCAGTTCTATCCAAAAATAAAACTTATTTTTCTGTTTTAATTTATTGAATCTTCTAGTATTCTGTTAGTTCATTTTATCTCTTTGTAGATTGTATAAATCTGTTTTAATCACAATACAAGTCATGCTTCGTCGTCCATTAACACGTATGTATCAAAAGCTTTTTCTCGGTAATAAATGTTTTCTCAATATATTCATATTGTTTATCTACAGGAATTGATATTAAAGTCGATGAAATTGAAGATTTAAATCAGGCCATTCACGAACGTAAAGCTCAAAATCAAAAGCAAACCTCATCATCAGGCAATATTTCATTTACACCTGCTTCCACTCTTCCAGTAAATACTATTCCCACAACAAAATAAAGAAAAATACGTTTTCGTATTTCGTAAAACGTTGTATAGAATTTGTTTTGTTTGTTTATATCAAATATTGTCTGGTTAAATTTATCGTGTTCATAACTCTAATCTATGAATAATTAATTATCCACGTGTATATTAAATTTCATATTTTTTGATAAAGTAATTCAATTATCTTGTGAATATTTTTTGTTTATGTTTAAAGTTTCATGTTTAATAAATAATAATTAAGTGTTAAACGAAAAAATTATTTAATACAGTAATAGTCGCTCTCGTTACCGTTTAATATACTCAGCATTTATAACTCCTAGTAAGCTTGTGTTATTCATCCTTTTTAATCAAATTTTCTAGATCTATGATAAGCTAAAAAAGTTATGTTTCGCCGTCCATTAACACGAATTGATATTAAATTAGTTGAAATAGACGATTTAAAACAAGTTATTGAAGAAAAACAACAGAAACAACGAGCCTTTACAAGTGATAATAGTATAGGATTAGATACACCGTTGATATTGTCAACAACTGTTCCATCAAAATGTTGACATCAGCAATTCAATGAACAATGAATAAATCGTTTATTTTTCTTTAGTTTCTGTTTTTGTAATTTTCTTCTTTTCCGTTATGTCTGCAATTAAACAATCAAATCACATTTCTTATACTATCTTTTGACATTAAGAGAACACCAAAATCGATATGGGGAACACCATCTATAATGTTACCTGCTTTTCAGAAGAATACCATAACGAATTTTGTCTATAAATCACGATTTGCTATATATAATTGAGACTATAACTAATATAATTGAGACTATGATTTTCTTTAGGAATAAACTGATTTATATTAGGTATATCTTCGTAAATTAACTTATTATAGTATCATAATTGAATTTCTAGTCTGTAATCATCTATTTGGCTTGATTCTGATGATGTGTTAATGTCTCATAATAGACAAATAACAGTAAAAAACTGAAAAACGAATAACCTAGATATCGGCCTGTCCAATCGTGGCGGAATCACGTTTTTACATTTTAAATTTGCCTTTTCTCGATCATTTTAAAAGACGAAGAGTCGCTATTTTTTCTACATGTGTGCGACCATGTGCTCTACAATACCTGA